ATAAATTTTTATCTCGATCTGCAGTTCAAGCACTTAAAGAATAAGACTTTTATTCATCAGTCAATTTATATAAAAAGGATTCTACAATGATTCTATATAAAGATCATTCATTGACTAGCCCAACGGTAATTCATTCACTTGATATCTAAAAAAACCATTTTCGATCTTGTGAAGATAATGAAAAACTATTTGGTCCTGAAGTAGCATATCTTAGTGCCACTAGTGCATTGATATATCTTGCTAATAATACTCGACCCGATATAGTCTTTTTTATAAATTTATTAGAAAGCCATAGTTCGACTCCAATATAGAGTTTGAATGGAATTAAACATTTCCTAAGTTATCTTCGAAAAAAATTGATATGATATTTATTTTACTCAAATGAATCAAAGTCGAGTTTAATGGTTATGTAGATGCATGTTATTTATCCGATCCATACAAAACTCAATGACAAACGGATTTTGTATTTACACTTGGTGATACAACTTTATCATGATGTTCTATGAAGCAAACTATAGCAACTAGATATTCAAACCATGTAAAAATATCAATTTATGAGGTAAATCGAGAATGTGTTTTGCTAAAATCAACGATCCATCATATCTAAAAGACATACGAGTTTATCTATTAGCAAAAGAAGTTCTAACAATATCATATGAAGATAATGTCGCTTGCATACTTCCATTAAAGGAAGAATACATCAAATTAACAATACGGTAAACTTTTTCGCGAAGGCTTTACCTATTATAACTTTTAAGAAGATGACTCGGAAGATTAAAATATATTGTCTTAAAAATCTCAAATGATGTTTTTAACAGGGGAGACCAATATTGATATTAATTTGTACAAAGAATATTGTACTATTTTTCCTTCACTAGGATTTTCTCCCATTGGGCCTAATAAGTTTTAACGAGGCATGTTCTTTGTACAATAGACATTTAAGGAGTGTTATGAAATAATAAACGTCTATTTTATATTTTTTACAATTCATATGATTTAATTCACCATTCGATAAGAGAAATTGAAAGGGTGATACAATTTATTTAATTATTTATGTATATTTTAATAGTTCATAATCCTTTCAAATTCTCTTCCTAATCTTGAAGCCTATAAATAAACTTAATTGTTTATTAGTTTATGCACAAATGTTTTGTAACGATTGAGAGATTATTTGAAGTTGTTATTTTTTATATTCAATTTATCTTATAGTAAATTCATTTTTCTCTTCAATTATAATATTGTTACTATTTCTTTCATATATATATATATATATATATATATATATATATATATATATTTTTTCCCTTGTTGACTGTTAAGTTTTATTCATAGCTACTACAGAAAATGAGAAAACTATAATTTGTCTTCAAGTTACAGATAAAATGGATATTTATTTACATTCAACTCCCAGAAAAACAAGAAATTAAGATTTGCATAAAAGATAAAAATTTTCCTGGCTTAAAAAATAAACCACGAGTTCCATAGTGGTAATTTTCCTGGCTTAAAAAATAAACCATGAGTTCCATAGTGGTCACTTCATAATTATAGAAAAGTGGTTTCCTCAGTCAACAGCACAAAGAAGATTATACTGTTGGCACTTCAGTAGCCAAACTTACTGTTGGTAAAATCCCATTCTCATAAATGCAAATAAATAGGAATCGTGGTGAAAAATTACATGTGCTAAATGGGTATTTCTCCATCACTTCTTAATTGTTCATAAAATTATACATTCAATTGGGAATTTATATTTTGCGCCTTATTCTCGTGGATAAAATACAAAGGTCATACAGTTGAAGCAAAAGAATAGCCATGAGCTCAGGCTAAGAAGAGAGCTTTACACTGCTCCATTGTATCATCAGGGCTGGTAACTGCAAAGCAAAATAGCCATAAAATGGAAAACCATTCCATATACCATATCAACAACTAGAATAACAGTGACACAGCTGAATAAACATTTAAGCATACCTTGATAAAAATGGGAAATAAGATCATCCATTTACATTAATTGCATTTCGAAGGTATCTTTTTGTTTTACATGACATCTGGATGCATCATTGTGACTATAAAGACAAAAATATGCAGCTAGATGCTATTGTTTGTATGCAGTAATGGCAGCTGAAAAGGACAGGATTATACCGCAAACTTCACAATTTTATGGGCGAAAGTCCCACTCTAGACCATTCTTTTAATTCTCTACTCTCCCAAGTCCCATGTGAAGAAAACTAAACTACTTTATTTGACTTGTGTTTTAGGCTGTTTTGATTTTATTTGTTTTGATGCTGCACCATATTGAAAATGAAACTTTGAGATGACAATAAATAGGTTGAAGATGAAATCATTTTCTGACCTGTATGACCCACAGTCCGTTCTGATTCATAGATTTCATGATCGTTTCCTCCCTGCTCAAATAAAATATCTAGTAAATGCAAGAAACTCAATGATAAAGAAGAATTATTGAATGCTATAATTAGAATCACATCTCAAATTGCATATAGATATTAGAATGCCAATGAAACAATAGAGGCAGCACAGGATAAATACGGGGTGTGGACCAAGCCTCGATTCTAATGGTGACTTTAAATTATAGAGAACAAGTATTTTCTGTGGAAAAGCACAAATATCTTTTGCTTTGAGGATATAAGTAGATCCCAAGAATGAACTTCATTGTTTTCCAAATCAATGCAACTCTTCCGCTACATCCCTCAGACATTTCATAATCAGTCAAGAATGACTCAAGACTAGCCATTTAGCTTACACAGTTGCCACTCTAAACTATCAAACAATTATCTGTTAAATAACGAAAGTCAGACTCTTTACACCAATTATTTGGTTCCTCTCTGAGCTTTTCCTCTCAACTAATGATTCTCTTAACAAAAAGGAGTAGCATTTGTGCCAGAAATCCTATGGGCAATTCCTAATCAGGGGGGCCTCAAGTATTAACAAATCAAGTTTGAAAAACAAAATAATCCACATTAAATTAAGTCCCAACAGAAGGAAAGTTGCTTTGAAGAAAACATACACCCATGATTAGTGACTGTAAATAATGCAAGTGTCATCATTTATCATGAGTCAGAAAACAGAAAGAAAGAAACGCCAAGCAGGGATGAGAAATATACTAAGAGATAACCTTGTAAGTTTTGTCACCAAAGAAGTGAATTTCATTGAATTCTTCAAGGTATCTCAAGCAGTATGTCTTATCCCAGCCTTGAGGGAAAACCTGTTACAAGCATCACACACCAATAATGAATACGTTGCCACTCTTACAAACCTGTTTTCTGATATTGCATTCAAGTATCATCATAAGCTAGTTAATATGGCACCTACATCAAAGCTTATCTGTCCGCCAATTGAAAATGTCAGGTTAAGGTGAGCAAACTTTTCACGCAGCACTGATACCATTTTTGGGCGTATATTATGAACCTGGGAACTCAATTTGTTCAGTATTTCAGCATTTACATCAACTATACATAGAATCCAGAATACAAACCAAATAGCTTCTAATACAAGCTTTTGATCAAATGGAACCAAGTCTTTTTTTACCTTGTCATACTTCTCAAATTCATCCCTTTCTTCTTGGCTGCAGTTCCGTCCAATTGGTGATACATTAAGCATGCCACTTCGGAATTCTATAAATGTTCCCCTTTAAAAATCATTGGAAAACAAAAAGGTCTCATTGAGCATCTTTGCCATATTCAGCTGGATAAGCTTAAAAAATTGACTTTTCAGCTCTCAATGCACTCACCGTTTCATGGGGATATCCAAGTCAGCAATATAATGAAGTGTAAAGTTAATAAATTCCTGCAGATTCATTCAAAATATATTTGAATACAAAAGTGTTACAATTTCTATGCCCATAAATCTCCTTTGCTTTATTTATCTATTCAGTCTCGAAAGGGTGCAAGTCCTACTTTCGAGAAGTGAGAACACAAGAGCATGCTGCAAGTTAGCATCCTTAGTGTCCAGACACTATTCCGTACATTATTCTATTTATCCTAGATGATCTTATTCTTGTTTTAGTTTCAGACACGTGATCTACAAGTGTTAATAGTCTTTTGTAAGTCATCTCCTGTTTCAGGGCCCCACTTAAATGGATTCATCTTTAACTAACGCCTTTTCTAGACAAGTTTAAGATTCTCCTTGTATAATGAGCAAAAGATCTTACCTTGAGCTTTTCGTCTCCAAGAGATAACTTTAAGCTCTGGAAAAAGATAATTATACTCAGTATTTTAGAGAAACAAGTTAACAAGCAATTGTCAGCTATGATTTTGAGAGAAAATAATAATAATAATAACAGATCTAATACTGAACTCAAGTGTTTCAAATTTCCATCTCGAACAATACCTGGGTGCCAATAAGCTTCCCATCTTTGTGAGCCACAAGCCCATTTTCAGAAAATACATAATCATAGTCTTTAATAACTGCACAGCCAAAAATGTAATAATTACTAACTCCCCTTAACTCCAGAAAAAATAGCTTTAAAACCTTAAGTCATAGCAAACCTGTCTTTCCAAGCTGCTCCGATATCTTAGAAAGATTAGATCCACTCACCACTCCCACAGTAACAACCTGCATTTACCAATACTGTTAACACTCCAACTCTCTAAAAGGCCAAAGACTCCATAAAAAGAATTACCCTTTTTTTATGCTAATCAATATAATTAATACCTTTCGGAGTGTCTTGATGAACTCTGCCATACTTGGGGTGGCTGCCTGGAATTGAATTGAAGAAAAGTCAGTTTCAAAGGCTGAAAAACTTCGATATTCAGTTCTATTCTATGCTCAAAATGGTTTAAAGAGAAATCGATGCCTTCCTTGGAGCAGTGAGAGTGTCGTCAAGATCAAATAAAGCAATCAAACCAGGATTCCTCACGGCCATTGCAGTCTGTACAAATTATCCTGTCATCCAATTCACAAAGAAAAGTTTGAAACTTGAAAAATCAAATAAAAAAGAATTCCATAATGCAAAAATTCAATTCTAAAGCCATATTTCGCAGCATGTAATGCAATTGGAGACTCGAATTGAAGAATGGAGGCCGCAGAATACAGTAACGTCCTTGAAGCCAAAAACAGAACACGAGAGAGATGGAGTACCTTTAGCAAACAAGAATAAAGAGACTGAGGAGTCAAAAGTACGAGAACTGGAGTTTACGGACACCGAATTTAAAGCAGATCTTAACTTGCGGAATGTGGGGGAGTTTTTTGGGGATTAAATTCATTGTTTAGGGATAGATTTGGAGCGAAAGGGTTTAGATCTGTGGAGAGTATATTTTGTTGTTTCGGGTACACTCAATTCTTGTGTTCGGTTTAATTACGGTCGTACACGTGGATATTTTGAACGGTAGAGATTAGTTGGACTGGTTTACGGGGGACAAAGCCCACGTGTTCTAAGTAAATTTCTTTAGGTAACGGGCGCACATTCGGATAATACTTGGTTTTTGAGAGTAGGATTTTACCCAAGTTGTCGACAGATGCAATGTTACCAAAATGAGTTTTCACTGTTTTTAATCGCTTGATAAATGATTTCAACAATAGCTTTCATGTTTGTGCTAAATGCAATGTGTTCCTGTGTGTATTTTTTTTATTTACTTCGTTTCATTCGAGTCTTTTATCTTTAATAAGTTGTGCACATCGTTTGGAAATTTGATCGCAATTCATTTGTCATCTCCAAATCTCCATGGTACAAATATTGTGTTATAACTATGCCTTGTTCCAGTTGCTCCCTTTAGCTATTGAACTCCTTTTGTTTTGGTCTCTTTGTATTGCTCCCTTTGTATGACTTTAATTAACGTTGAATTTCGGAAGTCTTTTAATCAGATCAAGTTGTGAGGTTGGTTGAGCCGTTTGTAAAAAACTTTCATGTTTTTATTCTGTAGGTTACTCAATAGTCAGTACAGTGGGAGTTATCTTAGATTGAGAAGTTTATTGTTGTTTCAGGTTGGACGTGAACATGTTTTCTGGCGGACTGGAGTAAAGTGCACGAAGGGAACATGTTCAAATGAGGAAGAAGTTGACGTTGGAAGTTCAGTGAAAACCACTGTTTGGCACGACCAGTTATCATCATCTCATCCAAAAAGTTCTTCACCAGGAATTAAGACCTCTCCTGCTCCATCTGGCCAGAAGATTCCTCTTTATTCTGTAGCGCATACCAGGGTTGGAGACAAAGGAAATGACTTGAATTTTTCAATCATCCCACACTACCCCTCTGCTATTGAGAGTGTGAAGCTAATTATAACACCCCAGTGGGTGAAGGAAGTTGTCTCAACTCTTTTGAACACCTCTTCCTTTCCCGACTCATTTGTCACCATGAAGAGAGACAAATGGGTAAGCGAACATGTTAATGTAGAAATTTATGAAGCCAAGGGAATCAATTCTTTGAATATCGTGGTCCGTAACATTCTAGATGGTGGCGTCAACTGCTCTCGTAGGATTGACCGGCATGGGAAGACCATCTCAGACCTTGTATTGTGTCAGCAAGTTGTGCTGCCGCCATGATTGCGTTCCTTGATTCCCCTGGCCTTCATATGTGAACAAGGATACTGAAATGTAATCAAACATGACTTGACTGATCATAGCCAGAAAATCCACTGACCAGAAAATGTTTACATGTGTGTACAGTATTTTTTCTTTTTTCCTTTGTATTATAAATGACCTTATCTTTTATTTTTAATTATTCTCGTTGTTACTCGATATATTTGTAAAAATCTACATTTGCCCCTCACTGAATCTCTTTTTTTTTTTTCATCTCTTTTAGTCTCTTTTTAGTCATTTCCTTTTCTTTTCTGATAAAGCATTTAATGCTCCTATGATTGCATTTTTTTTTTTGTCCTTATTTTCGTTAGAGGAGAGGTGCTTCAAGAGTAAATTATAAATTAGTCCCTCTTTCATAGAAAGCGAATTAATTAGTCCATTTGATTTCGAAAACTAATTTTTATCATTCTTGCTATTTTTTAATTTTTTTTACTTTTTGTTTTATTAAAAAAATAAAAAAAATTAATAAAAATACAAAAAGATTGATGAGAAAAGAAGACGTTTTTTTTAAATAAAAAATAAATTAGCCTGGCTAAAAAGATTAAATAATTATTTTTTAAAATCAAAATGATTAATTAATTAAAATCTCAAAACAAAAATGATTGATTTATAATTTATCTATTACTATATTCACATCTACTCATAAAATAAATATATCGATAGGTGTTAATAATTTCATATTTCGTTGGGTTGCAAACAAAATGTACATATATAATAGTCGGAACTCAAGACCCGTTTAATTTGTATTGTTGTTGCATGGATGAGGAATTCTTGAACTAAGTATGCTCTTGATTGAATTGTATGAATGGACACTTAACTTGCATTGTAATTAATTATTAATGGTGTTTAGTTTAGAATTAATCTTTTATTTTTATAGTGATCTGTAAATGCAATATGTCCTAATAATATGAATTTTTTTATTCTGGTTTGTTAACTATTAATTATTAAAATTAATTCCCGACGACCTAATAAATAATTGTCGATTGTAGAGTTCTATTAACTAGTACACTAAAAAAGAATGCTAATTCACAACACCCAATTGCATTGTTTACTATCACTCAATCCTACTAGTTATTTTTACTATTTATTGGCATTTTTGCACTTTAGTCTCTCATGTTTTTAGTAAAAAAAAAAAATCAATCCCAAACTTTATTTGTATTGCCATATGGTCCTTGAATGCTTATAGAAAAGTGAAGAAAGAAGAGAGAAAGAGAGAGAGGTGAGGGTCATTTCGCCACATCAACTCGTCAATATTACCACAAATTTGTTCGTCTTGAAGAATAGAATCTGTCGGTGGTTGTTACAAGCCATGAAATGGTTTGATGAGGTAGATCATGATATGAAAATATTTTAATTTTTTTTTTAGTTTGATTTGAATTTTTATGTGTTTTGTGTGCATAAAAATGAATTTTGAGACTATGAAATAGTTTTTTTTTTTTTACATTATTTTTGTGATTTTAAGCTGTTTTTGAAAAAAAAAATTAGGATAAAATTTGGCTTGAGGAAAGCCAGAAATAAAAAACACAATTTTCCAACAACCTCTCTGATGAACACCCACCTGCTAGAAATTGCAGTGTTTTTTTTTAAAAAAAAAACTTTCCTAATAGGGTTTGCCCATCCATGCCCAGGAGCGCAGGTCTAGTTCTTAGATGAGTTTCTTTTTTTTTTTTTTTTTTCAAATTTTTTCTTAAGACTTTTAGACGAATATTTTGGAATATCGAATGCTATTTTTTTTTTTGTTCTCACATAGTCCAACGAGAAAAAAAAATATGATATATTTTTATATTTTAAAATAAACATATATTTTACATTATATTACTTTTATTATTTAAAATTTATTTTTTCAATTTTTTATTTCTTATAAAGAGTTTCATCCAATTAAATTTTATTTAAATATTATTTATTGATAAACATGATTTATTGTTCTCCATGTGTGGATTTTTAAATAAAATTTTTGAACATGATTATTTTCTTTTTAAAAAATAAATTTATCTAATTTACATGATGGACTCTTATAATTTTTTATAGTAGCATATATATATATATATAATCTAAAAATTAAAATTATTTTTAGAGAATTTGTATTAGGTTTTTTGAAAAAAATAATTTACAAAATAAAATTTTAGTTATAAATTCATGGAGTTTTAGATTTAATTTTTAGATTATCACAAGTTTTTAATTAAAAATCGAATAAATAAAAATAAATCATTTTTTTTATAGAAAATTTTTGAAAAATACAATGAATAATTAGTCACGTGTGATATTTTAATAAAAATAATTATTATATTTTGATAAATTCACAATATAGCTCAAATTTTTAAAATAAAATAATTTTATATATTTTATTCGATTTGCAGCACAGGTGAAAAACTAGTTTCTAAAAGACTTGCCAATGCAATTCCCAAAACAAAACGAAGTAAAATAAAAGGTTGGCTTGATGATGTAATTCCAATCTGTCTTTTCAATTTATATTCTTTTTTCGTTTTAAGCAATTCAGATTTCAGAAGGGAATTTCCAGATTTTGTATGATGAACTCAAATACTAAAAGATCAACATACGAAAATCTATTAGATCAGAAATTGTAGGAGAAATAAATGTTACCCCGAGAATTTGTGCTATAAGAAAGCCTCTGCAAACATCAAAACTATAAAACGTGAATCGATAAACTTGAGTACATCAGTACATGGGCTGGATTGGGCTGCATGAAATGGGTCAAATGTACAAGTTTTTATTGGTAGAAAGAAAGCCTCGAACTCGATAACTATCCAGCTTAGTAGTACTTAGTAGTTATAAATGGAATGGGTTTAAATCTAAATCTTCCTATTATACTCGAGAAAGACGCCGACAGGCCTATCCCCTATTATATAACTTAAAATTATAACAAATTATACTATTTAATTTTGAGAAACAAATTAATCGGTCCTTTTTAATTATTTCAATAATCAATTATTTAAAGACTAAACACCATACTTAATTTTAATTTAATTTAATTTTTTTCTCATTACTTTCCATAATATCTATTTAAAAAATAAGAAAACAAAATCATTTTTTAAAAAAAAAACATAAAATAGACAAAAAAATTGAATAATTAGTTTTTGAAACAAGAAAGACTAATTAATTTGTTTCTTAAAAATAAAGGGATTAATTTATACTTAACTCCTTAAAATCAATAAGCTTCTAAGTTTTTTTTTTTAAAAAAAACAGTGCAGATACAATTGTGATGATAATAAAAAGATAGTTGAGCCGGATGGAATAGGATGGAACTGTGGAAGACCAAACTAGTTATCCCCTATTCTCCAGCCCCTTTTAATATATATATATATATATATATTAGTTGGTGTATATCTAAAAACCTGAACTGAATAACTGGGTCTTTGAAATTGAGAAACTTAAAAAAAGAAGAAGAAGAAAAAGAATCCACAGACTTGGAGGTGAAGAGAAGAATCCCACAGTATAATGTATAGAATTTTCAGTGGCGTGGCTTTGAGAGCTACAAAAGTGGCAAATGATAAGGAACATGCATTGACTAACGTAATGGGCAGAATATGGTTGGCAACAGTCTGGTTTGGTGTCTACCTTCAGACAATTGATAGTATATCTTAATCCATAACTTAAAAAATCAACAGCCATCAAGGCAAATAGCAAAAACAGTTGGTTTTTCATTTTCCCATTTTGCCTCCCTTACAATTTTTCTCTAGAAAAAGTCAGAGCACCAAACCCTGTTTTACTCCAATCCAACAGGTTTACATCCACAATTAGATAATTAACATTCTAATTTTATCTTAGAATGTTTGGGATCTCCAATCACGTGTCCTCCTTACACAGGACAATGCAAAGCAATTTACACCACTACAAGAGAAGGCGAAAAAAAATTGTGACTGACTTTGATGATATAAATTAGTTTCGTTTTGACGAAACAAAGACTTGTTTGTTTATTTTCCATGTGTCTGAGGAGGGAACGAAGAACAAACCCAGGGTGCTTTTATTGTTCGGACATTTCTTAGATCCTCAGACAACTTGAACACAAAATACTTCCTGAGTTCCAGGATCATCTTGGAAGAGAGATAGAAGAGGAGTAAAAGACAGAACAATGGCATTCACTGGAACCCTGGATAAGTGCAAGGCTTGTGATAAGACTGTTTATGTTGTTGATATGATGTCTCTTGAAGGAGTGCCTTATCATAAATCCTGCTTCAAATGCACCCACTGCAAAGGAACTCTTGTGGTACGTTGTCCTCTCCCTTCCTTTATTTCCTGCCTTTTTTTCTTTCAATTGATAATCTTAGTGTTATTTAAATGGGAAATTGATTATGTTAAACAATTGGGCAATAAGGGTTCCAATTCAAGGCTAATAGCATAGCTAAAATATATGCAATGCTCGTGTGTTACAAGCTAGATAGATCAATTGGGGTTGGGAAAAAAGTAAGCCAGCATTCAACATTGGTGGATTAATTTCCAATTCACAGATTAGTAATTTGTTGCTTTTCTTTGTTTTGGCTTTGGAGTTGTGACGATGATATTCCGCAATTAAAAATTAATTTGTGCATGACAGATGAGCAACTACTCATCCATGGATGGAGTCCTCTACTGCAAGACTCATTTTGAGCAACTTTTCAAGGAGGGTGGCGATTTCAGCAAGAATTTTCAGAAAGGTGATGTTTTTTTCTCCTGTGTCTTGTATCCGATTCTCTTAACAGTATTCCAATGAGGTGCCATTGTTTGATTCCTTTTCCCCATATACATAAACAATTTGATGACATTTTCTTGCAGGCAAGCCTGAGAAGACTCATGAGCTGGTATAATATTCATAATCTCGAATTTCAAATGCTTAGGGTGTGTTTGGATGTCCCGTAAACTGATTTATGGTGGCATTTGGAAACCACCGGCATGATGAGTGATATTTTCTGGGATATTTCGAAATCCATTCCAGTTTTAAGATTCTATCCTTTCCTTTCATGATTTATTATCATTATAATTCTCTGTATTCTTCCAGTCTAGGACCCCCAGCAAACTCTCTTCCCTGTTCTGTGGAACCCAAGACAAATGCTCCACCTGCGGCAAAACAGTGTACCCACTGGAGAAGGTTTATTTTCAGCTCTAAACTTAAATAGATTCATTAGGTCCTAAAGATCTGTGTCCTATATACACCTCTACATTCATCATATAAATGACAAACATATTCTTAATTAGGTTCATCTTGTCTGTTATAGATGGATCTATATATCTGATAAAGTTTTACAAGTCTCTAATCTCTATTATTTAATGGTCTTGCTTATGAGTTACGATCAGTTGGAACGAGTATGTAAGGTTCTCTAACCATTGATGGCATAGGTTACCATGGAGGGAGAATGTTACCACAAGACATGCTTCAGGTGTGCTCATGGTGGGTGTCCACTCACACACTCATCTTATGCTGCTCTTGATGGAGTCCTCTACTGCAAGGTCCACTTTGCTCAGCTCTTCATGGAAAAGGGAACCTATAGCCATGTTCTTGCATCAGCTACACACAAGAGATCAACCTCCACACCACCTCCAGAACTGGCCGAGTCGAACACAGAGGAAGAAGCTGCTGCTGAGGAAAAGTCCGAAGAGCAATCTTAAAACAAAGCACATCATGGTTTCTTGCATTGCTGCCTGTTCAAGTTGTCAGGACTGCTTTGAATTTTCATGTTGTTGAGTATTATTGCCGGATTGTGTTCAAAGTTTATTTTTGGATTTGATTAACTATGTTTCAAATGCCTTGGTACAAGATATTGAATTGCATTAGTTTTTCCAAATTCTTCCTCTTGCAATTTAATGCTCTTGGCAAAGGGAGAAAAATGAAAAATCCAAATCCGAGGCACTAATATCAACATTTATTGTTCTCGGCTATTTGTTTAACTGGCTTTTGCATTTTCTATGGATGCCCGAGTTTCAACTCTGTACCATGCAAATTTACATTTTGGCTCGCTTGAAAATTACCACCATCTTGTGAAGATTGAAGAACAGCATTATGCTGGTTTCTATGTATAATAAGTGACTGACAACAGCGACAAGCATTGATAAAAAAACAGCGATGATGCCCATTTGAGTAGGCACCTACCTAGCTACCTCTTTTCGGCCAACAGGAAACCTTTCGCAAGCGATCCTCGTCGGTCCCAACTTGTTCTCCTCACTCTCAAATAGCTTTCATCACGCCCAACCTAGTTGGGATTGCTTACTCTTCCCTGCGTGCTTCTTCACATTCCATCCTCAAATAAAGCAGAAACTATCTTCTCCCCCAAAGAATTCTCTCTCAGGTCAAGGAGAAGTGAGCTTAAGCTTTCTCTCCCCCATCATCCCATAATGTAGCCCTCTCTGCGACTGCTTTTTCTGACAGAGACATTATTTCTGGCTTTACTGCCCTTAAAGTTCTGTTCTTGGATTGTCCTTGTTTGAACAGGATTAATATTTCAAGCCAACGACTTGAGAAGTTGTAACTTTTGTCAAATCACCTGGTGGAAGCTACCATTAGTACTCCAAGTTTAATGTTACAGAAACATGCAGTTTCTGGATCTACTGATTGTTTCGGTGGACTGATCAAGTCTACGAAAAGTTACTCTCGACTTATCGACACAGGAGCCCATGCAAACTTTATCTGCAAACTAAGGGATTACATCGGAAATTTCAGCCAAATCAAACTCCTCACCCTCCACGTTCCCTAGTTTACTGCCATCGCATATATCCCGAAACATTTGAAAGGTTTATTCATTATTCCTGCTATGCCTGGTATTAAGCACTTGAAGCTCAAAGTCAGTGGACCAAGTTACCAGCAAGCAGCCGTAGCTGAAGAAAGATACAGAGCTCGTCTGAATGGGTTTTTCTGGGTTTGTCATCCGGAATCTTTATTTTACTTGCATCAGGATGGGGTTCCAATAATGAATTTACAGAAGTTCTTGGCACAACACTAATGCATCCAATAGGAAGACAATATTGTTGCACAGCTTCTCAAATCCAACTTTGGCAGTATGAATTTAAAGGCGTTCACATTCAGCATTTGGCAGGGAATGCATGTGATGCTTTCTTAAGAGTTGCTATCACGTCCTGAACCAGGGGAAAGGATTAGTTTTTTTATTCAAATGGTGATTTCATTTTGTGGAACCAAAGTCTTATATATTTAAATGTACCTTTCTCTTGTAAATTGGTTATGAAGATTTCAAGAGATAGATACACATCTAATCCATTTATCGACTAATTAATCAAATTTAATCGTGCCATTGCCTGCTGACCTTTTTTCTTTTGGATCCTTAGACATATATTTGTTCAAAGATTTAAATTTATCTTTATTTAAAGAAATTTTTACATATACAAATACTCTAACTCGAGATTACTTATTTTAATAATTAGAGTTTTTCTCGCTCAAACCAACCCGATATACTTAAAAGTAATTCCTTAATATTAAGGTATTTACATATTTTTTTCTAGACTAAGCTAATGGTGGGTCCCTAAATGACTTATTATTATTATTTTATAAATGTTGTACTTAATATGGCTATATGATGACATATCGTAAATATTATAGGATCGCTATGAAATTCGACAATTACATTAAAAGCCTAACAAGGTAATATATATATATATATATATATATATCCGGAAAAAAACTAATGCGAATAAAACTTAATGACTTTGATCCAATCTTTCTTAACTTGTTATTGTATAGATCTAGCTAAATTGAATTTCATTGTTTTATTTGCATTGTAAACACTAATTTGCTGTTGTTGTAAGTGTGTGAATGAATCCAACGATTAAGATTAAAATGCAGAATAATAACATTCACATTAAAATGTTTTTCAAGTGCCTAAAAATTTATTTAGATCATATCACGAGAATAATAAATATTTTATTTTAGGTTAGTTTTGAGATGTTATACTATCTTTTTGGATTTTTGGTTAATGGCTCATTAACATCATTGGAAAAGGAGAGACTAATAATTATTGGTCGGCTTCCCGTGCTATACTCGCAAGTTGAATAAAATATTTTCATTTTAGTTTGATAACTTGTATAATATTGTTAGTCAACTCAAATATACAAGATTAAAGATTAAAAAAAAATCATCTAATTTCATAATTTTAAATGAAAATTTTGTATTTGATTTATGTTTCCTTATGTTTGTTATAAACTTCATAGTTAAAAAATCACAATACATATTGTTTAAACTTAATCTTTTTAATTTGTTAATTCTTATAGAAATTCTCATCAAATAATTTTTATTCTTTTTTTATGCAATTTTATTTGTTTATACTCAATATTGATTTATTTTCTCCGTGTACGGATTTTTGCTTATTTTTTATATAATCAAAATATATCAAAATTGCTTTTGTGATTGTTTTTTTACAGTATGCTAACTTCAATATATTCCATACAATTTGAGTTTTTTTTTAAAAATATATATATTAATTTTTGTTGTACTCTAATCCACCAAGTATGGTAATGATATATTAGAATTAAAAAAAATTAAGATAATTAGTTTTATTAAAAATTAACTATGCATCATATAATAAAAACCATCACTGTTTTTTTTTAATATTCCAAAATTAATTATATATTTTTTAATCAAAATTTTGTTTTTACTCTTTTTTTTCACAAATTTTGTAGGTTAAAAACACAATTTGTTCATTCTTATGTATTCATTTTTAAATAGAAATATGTAATAATCTAAATAAAAAAATTAATATAAAATTTATAAAATATCTTAATATTTTTTCATAAGATTGTATCGAAAAAATAAATATAAAAACTTGTATAAAAATTATATTGATGAGAAGATTAACTTTTTGAAAATATGTACATTTAATTTATATATATTTATTTAAAAATTAATCAATAATATTAGTATAAAAAATTAATTTTGAATTATTTGGTAGTTCTTCTAAAATATTATTTTAAATATTTTATTTGAAAGAAATTAATTTTAGAATATTGAAAAAAAAAACAATAGCAAATGGTTGGTGCTATTTGTGTATATGCATGGTTAATTTATAATAAAACTAATGATTTTAATTTTTTATATATATACATCATAACTATACTTAATGGATAAGAATGTGCAGTGTAAATTAAAAAAAAAGAGTTAAATTGTAAGAAATATATTAAAGTCAATAGACTCGCAATAAAAATAATTATAAAATTAATTCTGATAAATTTGAATTATATAAAGAATAAGCAAATAAAATACATGAATTTTATTTTTCAAGTGATTATTTATTTAAAAAAAACTTATTCAAAAATCCATACATAAAGAAAAATAAATTATATTTATTAACAAATAAAATTACATAAAAAAGAATAAAAAATTAATTTAATGAGAATTTTCATAAGAAATGAAAAATTGAAAAAATAAACTTTAAATAATATGAGTAATATAATTCGATATATATAGTTATTTTAAAATCCGAAAACATATCGTATATATTTTATGATTGCCGAAAACAAAAAGCAATTGATTTTTCATATTTTTCGCATGCAACTCAATAATAAAAAGCTAAAATTAAATTGCTAGAAAAAAGAAAAACGACAAGCATGAGTGCTAGATCATTTGTAACGCCCACAACCCAACGGGGAGCAAAGAGAGCGATTACACTCGTCTCACACTCGAGAGTGCAAGACAATGCATCGTGTCCTACCCTAGATTTCTATTATATTGCACAATAGAATTTTCTTATTCGATTTAAAGTTTAAGGCTTCCTAAATTTGATATTTAGTATTGATAAATTTTTCGCAACCTAAATCATTCATATATTAAACTAACTTGATGTCCTTTTCCATAATTGCATCAATGCATCTTTAAATAGATAAATTCATCAAGACATCTAAAATTAACACAAACATTTCATTATCCTTCATGCTCGTCAATATATTTATGCAATTGATGCAAGGATACACCCATGAAATATTTAAGAGACATACCTACAATTCTTATAAGGACTTGAGTCCAAACTAGGTTGTTTGATTGAGTAATTTTACCGCAAAGTTGAAATTCTACTACAAAGTTGGAATTCTACTACAAAGTTGGAATCCTAAAGTTAGGCGGACGTGACCGAGTTAGTGTCGGTGTTTAGCCCATAATTGAAACCGTGGGTCTTCAAATGATTCAAGACTTAATTATTTGGAAAGCTAATAGATAGGCTATAACTTTCATAAAGGAAGAAAATCCTAATTCGACATGTATCTAGTTCATTTAAGCCGATTACTCAATGAGGTTCATTTTAGGTCACTTCTACTCGTGTGTTTTGCTTCTCGCCATATGTCACAACACACATAGCCATGGATGTATTTTTCCTTATCCCATTATGCACTCTTTTACCTCTAAGATAGGTTTGAAAAGGTTTCAAAGTGTGGAATCATAATTTTCATCAACGAAAACACATAATAATGACTCAATCAATCATTTTCATGCCATTTCATTTCCATTCATCGTCAAACATATATATCCATGGCGATTTAGGAAACAATCCAAAGGTTTCTCTCTTGGTTGAATATTTCATCCATTCAACTAAGAAAATTTTTCCTCAAATATACATATTCATCATAATCTATCATAACCAAAAGCATTAAGCAAAAAATTCAAATATTCCTCTCTTGGCCAAATGTTTCATCCCTTAAACCAAGAGAAACTTTCCTCAATCATTCATTCTATACAAGTCATCTCATCATGTTCAAACCTAATCTTCCATGAAATTCATTTAGCTTAGCCTTTAGGTCAATTAGGGTTAATGGTCTAATCTACTTCCTAAGCTAAATTATCTTTACTCTTCATTTTAATGCATTTAACTCCAACTAACCAAGGTTAAAGTTTCGGACTCTATAGTCTAACCATCCAATTCAACAATCCCCTACTTTTGGGACTTGGCCAAATGGCCTTATACCAAATAATCAAAAGATTTCTTCTCCTTAAACCATAAAACATCATTACTTAATTTTAGTTAATCATCATTTAATCCATAATGCATACACATACACATTTCACTTTACTTTCTTAGTCGCCCAAATCTATCAAGCCTAACTAGCCTCTCAATTCCATCAATTCTCTCTTTAGCTTCAAGTCAAAACATGGTTTAAACATTAATCAAACGCCTTAGTTATATCAATTTCTTACAACATAATTTTTTCATATTATTTCTAATCTTAGCCGAATGTTTAATCCCAATGCACCAATTCCTTAATCTTCTCCTTCTCTCATTTAATCACTCGACACTATCAATCAATCATCAATAGTATAATTTCACATAAACCCTTAAATTCTCAATTCATAACAAGATAACAATTAATTATTGAAAGCATTAAACTACTTGTAATATGGGTGAGATTACACTTACCCATCATCATTACAATGTCCAATCAATTATCAATTACACAAACCAAACATCAATTGAATCCAAGTCATTCAATTGCACAATTTGAAATCCTAAGGTTTTAAGCACACAATTGCACCAATTTAATACACAATCATCCTAAGTTTTGTAGCGAGTTGAAATTACACTTGCCCAATTGTAGCTTGTTGTTTAACTTTGCTTAAACCTTGCAAAACTCCTTCTCCTTCCTTTTAGTTTCACCCAAGACTTCTTTTCCTCCCTCTCCTTATGCTTGTTTCCTTAAGCCTTCTAATAGAGTTTTATGTGTGGCTGAGTATTGATTTTAGGTGGAATTTGGGTAGGATTAACTCAATTCATTCTAATTCTTGTCTTGGTTTCTTTCTTTTCTTAGGATTTATTCCTTTCTTTCTCTTGATGTTTGGTGAATGTTCTAGCCTAAATTTCAGTTTATATACTGAATTTCTGGAGCAAAAATCCCAACAGATGGGATGGTTTAAATGGCCCTCTATGTTTCTAAAAAATTCATTTTGGTCATTGACTTATATAATTCAATTCAATCACACCCCTACAATTTGGTTTCCTCACTTTTAATTACAACAATTCAGCCCTCATTTAAAGATGATTTCCAAATTAATATTGGTCTCTTGATTCCCCTAATTATTTAAATTAAATAGCTAATCCTCTAACCTTTACAATTTTCTCCTTAAAAATAATCCAATTAAATACCAAAAATTCATTATCTCAACAATTAATCATCCATGCTTACCAAATAAATTCTAAATTATTTCCTCTTTACTTTCTAATATTTATGTGTACATAAATAATATTTTTATGCACACATAATATTAATTCACATATGTAATTTAACTAATTATTCCTTAATTAAATATTCATGCATTAATTTAAATATTCTTCTTTCCATACATATATATGTATAATATATATATTATTCAGGAAGTTTTTTGGTCAAGGATATTACATCATTCAAGGACCAAAAATATCTTTTAAAAGTATTAAGTATTAAAATAAAATATAATGTTAAATATGCATATAAATGTTAAAAAAAAAACCTAAAAAATAACAAAAATGTCACTGCATGATAAAAACTAAATAGTGCACATGACTTTATGTGAATAGTATATATGAGTACGAGTAAATAGTATTGTGAATAGTAATTTATCTGAAATCGTTTAGTTTTTTATCTTATTTTTAATATGAGATTGTGGGAGGCATTTTAAAAAATAATAAAAAAATTCAAAAATACAGTATCAGTGAGCTGATTAACTCGTGACTTGGTAGTCGCTACCTCACATGAGGACATACTAAGTTGGATATAAGCAAATATTAACTAGCCACGTGCGGACAAACTTAGGCCAATAAGACTTCAGCGTGTCTCTCACTCCCCAAGTTACGAGAATGGAAGAAAAAACATGAGCTTAAATTAATTTTTGGTCCCTAGTTTTGATTACAATTATAAGTAGTTACTTATATTTGAAAATCTATACAACTTAATCTCTAAACTCTTGTTGATAGTGGTCATACTAAACCGTCTCGGTTTTTTTTTTTTTTACTTCATTTGGATTGTTTTTAAAAATATTTTTCAAAATGTATTTGGAATGAGATAAGATTTGATGTTTCTAGTATTTTTGAATGCTTTTAATAAAATGTTAAAACCATAAAAAAACAGCTATAAGAATTAAAAAAATTAAAATTAATGTTTTTTTAAGTCTAAATGCATTTGATAAAAATATCTACATCATGCTATCAAACACAATTTAAAAATTTAAATTGTCGAACCGTTTGGTTTGAAAAATAGAAAGAAGATAACAAATGGTTTAATAAGTTACCAACCAAAGGTTAAGGATTAAGTATTTCTTTTTTAAAATTAAGGACTAAGTCATAATATTGTTCCAAATGTCAGGGCCTAAAAGATAATTTACTAAAAAAATAACATAAGAATATCCGCAAGCACATATGAGAACGAGAGTATAAAAAAATCCACCTGACGTAATAATATAAGGTCGTTACAGCAAACCATCCAAACAAGAAATAAAAACATAATCCACCAATAACTGAATTTCCTTTCTCTACCAAATAATTTTCCTTTTTATTTTCTCACTTTCCAAACACAGAAAAGAAAAAGAAAATTCAGAGGCCACACTAGTGAACTCTACTATACTACTATTTGTCGGCGTTTCTTTTCAAGCTCCCTCCCTCCCTCCTTTCTGCCTGTATTAAATAAATAAATAAAAAAGAAAAATCCCCCACAAGTTGATATTGTTTATTAGTCAGTGTTGTCGTGCCGTTTTCTACCCTAACAAACTCCGCCAATGATGTTCTCACATCTTTGACTCCTTTTGATCGGTTAGTTTCGCTCTCTCTTCATAGTTATATGCACAAATGGGTTTCTGCTTTTAATTCCTTTTTTTATAAAGATTGATTTTAGGTGTTTGATTAAATGCTTCACAGAGTGTGATTGTTTATTTTACTACAGGGCATGGAGTTTGCGTGTAATATTCAGCAAGCGAATGCATTTTATAGCAGACAAGGTACTAGTTATAGGTTATCAAATGGGTTACATTCGAGATTTAGGTATAGAAGTTATGGGTATAATATTGTTGATTTAAAGCTTGTTTCGAAAGAAAGACCTTCAAAGAAATCAAAGAGAAGTGTTGCAATTGGTGGTCGCAGTGGAATTCATAGTCATTTGCATGTTGGTGGGTATTCAAGCAATCCATTATTTTGCAATTTTATTGATGAGATTAAGGGATCGAGAAGTGTAAAGTTGTGGTGTCAAGGTAACGATTCGTTAGCATATATTGATGGGAATGGTAGAAATGTAGAAGTTGGGGCGGGTAATGATGAGAGCTCGAGAGTAGGGTCTAGTGGTGGCTTCGGAGAGGAGGAAGGAAGAGGAGCAAAAGAAGTGGAGACTGAGGTGGTGGTGGAGGCGCTTAATTTGGATGAATTGAAGGACTTGTTACAGAATGCAAGGAGGGAATTGGAAGTTGCACAACTTAATAGTACGATGTTTGAAGAAAAAGCGCAGAGTATATCAGAAACTGCAATAGCTTTGCAAGATGAGGCAGCGAGTGCTTGGAATGATGTTAACTCCAGACTTGATATGATTCAGGATATTGTGAACGAGGAGGGTGTTGCTAAAGAAGCTGTTCAAAAGGCAACAATGGCGCTTTCTTTGGCTGAGGCACGGCTTAAGGTGGCTGTGGAGTCAATAAAAGCTATGAAAGAAGGGGTTGATTCATTGGAGATTTCTGGAGAGAGTGATGCGGAAAATGATGATAAAAAAGATTATGAGACAATTTTGGCTGCCCAGAATGATATTAGGGATTGCCAGGCAAATTTGGCAAATTGTGCAGCAGAACTGAGGCGCTTGCAAAGTAAAAAGGAAGAATTGCAAAAGGAAGTAGACGTGTTGAATGAGAAAGCGGAGAAAACACAAATGAATGCGTTGAAAGCAGAGGAGGATGTTGCAAACATTATGCTTCTAGCTGAGCAAGCTGTTGCCTTTGAACTTGAGGCTACCCAGCGAGTGAATGATGCAGAGATTGCATTACAAAAAGCAGAGAAATATCTTGCTAGTTCACATGTTGATATCCAGGAAACAGCCCGGGGGTATGTATCTGGTGATGAGGCTGTAGTCGATGACAAGAAGATGGGCGGAGGAAGTGCTTCTGATGTTGAAAAAGAAAGAGATACGACTGTAAATGGAGATGTTTTAGTTGGTGAGCCTCCAGTAGATAGACTATCTGATAAAACCAGCCAGAGTTCTGAAGATTTATGCATATCTGATGATTCTAGTGACCATGAGAATGGAAAATTGAGTTTGGACTCTATTAAAGATATTGAAGCAGAAGCTGAAAAGTCAAAAAGTGGCGTTCAAACAAAAAAGCAGGAAACACAGAAGGACTTGACCAGGGAGAGTTCATCTTCACCTCTCAGTGCTCCCAAGGCATTGTTGAAGAAATCTTCTCGTTTCTTTTCTGCATCCTTCTTCTCTTTCAGTGGAGATGGTACAGAGTTGACTGCAGCATCAGTTTTTCAGGGCCTCATGGAGTCTGCAAGGAAGCAACTGCCCAAACTTGTTCTTGGCCTATTGCTGTTTGGAGCGGGGTATGCATTACTGTACCTCTTTAATTTTATTTCCATCACTTTTAATAGTCCTCTTGAAGAGGCATTTTATTGTTCCAACGGATGCAAGATGCTAAGATGTATTTTCAGGTTATAAGTAAAATGCGATCGTAAAGGTTTATCAGCAGGGGTAATCACAAAATGTCATGAAATTTCAATTCCTTATCGAGGCCTTGCTTGGTTCCTATTTCATATTGCTTTATTGCAATTTTGAATAAAGAAACAAATTACATCTTGGTTATGGTGATCTAGAGGTTTCTGAAGGCTATTTCAATAGGTTCATGTTTCACTATCTGCTTCAGTTGCTAGACTCTTGCATCTAGTGTAGAAGTTGCCTTCTTTTTATTAGAGTGTAATGAACCGTGCACAGATTTGCCTTCTACTCTAATCGAGTGGAGAGGAGTACTCAGATGCTTCAACAACCAGATGTTGTCACCACAAGCATTGAAGACGTTTCATCAAATGCAAAGCCTCTGATTCAACATATTCAGAAACTCCCAAAGAGAGTCAAAAAACTAATTGCAATGCTTCCTTATCAAGAGGCATAAGTTCATACTATCCTTCACTTCTGCTTTGGATCTGAAGTCAAGCATGTATATCGTACTTTCTAATCTGGTTGCTTCTTCCATTTTGACAGATGAACGAGGAGGAAGCATCTCTCTTTGATGTTTTGTGGTTGCTGCTTGCTAGTGTTATTTTTGTGCCTATATTTCAGAAAATTCCTGGAGGTGATCTCACTGTATTTTATAGTATAACTAAGAACTTCTATTTTATTAATACTTGCTTAATCCTTCTGTTAGGCATTTTCTTCCTCCATTCATATAATCAATTATGCTTTCCTGAAATTAGTCCATATAGTAGTTTATGAATTTCTATTATCTAAATTTATGTCAACTGCTGCTTTCCAAAAAGAAATTGGAAATTTGTATGATCTTGTTTCACTGATTGTTTTTGGATCTGCAATTCCAGGCAGTCCTGTCCTTGGATACTTGGCTGCCGGCATCTTGATTGGCCCTTATGGTCTCTCGATCATCCGTCATGTGCATGGTACAAAGGCGATTGCTGAATTTGGAGTTGTTTTCTTGCTATTCAATATTGGCCTTGAGGTGGAGTCTATACATCTATGAATCTATACATCTATGCTTTGTGGCTTGAATTTAACGTTCCTCCTAATTTAAAAGATTGATGCTAAGCAGTCTTATGTATTTTATAGCTCTCTGTTGAAAGGCTTAGTTCCATGAAGAAATATGTTTTTGGATTAGGCTCTGCTCAGGTACTTGGATTTTTTTTTCCCACATTTTTCATTGCTCAATCCATATTTGCTCTGTGCTTTCTATTTATTGGTTTTTTAACCTTACTTTTTTAATGTGCATGATGCAGGTCTTGGTGACAGCAGTGGTTGTTGGCTTGGTCGCACATTTTGTTTCTGGGCTGCCTGGTCCTGCTGCAATTGTCATTGGAAATGGCCTTGCACTATCTTCTACTGCTGTTGTTCTACAGGTAGCAGAATTTTTCAGATTTTGCTTTAAATCTAAGCTTTGCAGCTTTGTCAGAACTAAAAGTCCCTCATTTTGAGGAAAGATAATTTTCTGAGATCAAACACAAGCTTCCTAGACCAAATATTTTGACTTTTTACATTATCTAGTGCCCATAAGGCTGTTATGCACTCATCAAAGCGGTAAATTTAAACTAACACCACTTGTATTTTTGAACATCTAAAATATAAGCATTTTGATTGCACATCTAAAATCTCAGTAACTTATTAAAAGTCATGTTTTAGATGTAATCAGCGAATGCTATGATGCATACTTGTTAATTGTGCCAGACTTATCTCGCTGAAAATGAGCTTCTGATCAAGGCTCATATCTTCAATGGTCTGTCTGTCAAATCTTGAAATACTTATTTTGATGGACAAGAGAATTGATAAATGGTGGTCTTAATTTGCAGGTGTTGCAGGAGCGAGGCGAGAGCACTTCGCGCCATGGCCGTGCTACTTTCTCTGTCCTACTATTCCAGGTTACTCCATATTCCCAAAAAAGAAAAGAAAAGAAAAAAGCTTCTGTCTTGGTATTGGCATGTTTTTTTTTTTTTTTTTGTTTTAAATGCTGGCCATACTATGCCATAGCATCGGTTCTTTGTGCTCTCACTTTCTTGGATGAATAACATATGCATCTGTATCATAATAATACAAGATGAGACTAAAATGCTATGCAGTCTGTTATAGTAAAATTTTTGCCTGTAATCATGTAAAAATTTCCCAATCCTCTGCTGGGTAGAAATTTCTCCTTGTAATTCCTTTGAGATCTCTTTTAATCCATGTTCATGTTATTTTGTCATGTTGTTGCAATGCAATCTTTGATCTTCTTTATTCTTTCAGGATTTGGCTGTTGTGGTGTTGCTAATACTCATACCCCTTATTTCACCAAATTCATCCAAAGGAGGGGTAACTTTCTATACTATTTTGTTTATATGTTGATATGGTGGTGAGCTTTTGATTTCGTTTTGCTTTGAAAAGTGAACGAAACTTGCACATGTTTTGCTCTTTTATGGGTCATAATTAATGATTTACAATGAGCAACCTTCCTTACATTCTATTGGAAGCTAAGTATTAATTCAGTTAATCAGTTGGTTAAAGGGACACAAATGCTGCCTGCATAGCTGCCCATATCCCAAATGGAGTCAATTTGTCTATTTATTTCTTGATAAATGACTATGGAATGATCCAGTGGAATTATCCATGTTACAAAGAAACTAAGTTAAATACTTTTTAAGTTCGTAGCAGGTACAGATAGTAAAATGATCCCAATGCGATGCATATGATAAATCATAATGGAATACACTATTTGATGACTGCTAACAAATTGTTGAAACTCTAAATTCTGTGGAAAACAGGAATTAGTTTTGTTGATAAAACAAGATTTCATTTGATGGAAGAGATGATACAATTACGACAAGGTGGATAAGGCATCCTCTAATGTGAAATCAGAGTCTAAGAAATAGAAACTACGACAATAGGACTCTTTAGCCCCACCAAGACTATTAGTTAAAAGACTTGTTTAAGGCACTTTTGTTGTTTGTTGAGAAACAATAACACATAACAAAAGAAATGAGGACAAACTGCAAGAGAAGAAGCAGAAAAGTTCTCCTACCTATTACGTGCGAAAGTCCAGACATCAATATCAGGGGATGCAAAATTTCGAGCTTTATGTCTCCATTTTACATTGACTTTTTGAGAAACATAAATTTGGTGTCTAAGATTTACAGAAAAATGGAAAGGAAGCCAAATGCAGCATGTCTGTTTGCAATTACCCTTGGATACTAGTGGGTTGCTCAATGAATAAAAATTTCATTATTGTGATGGTTTGCCAGTGTGTGAGTCGTACAGGATATTTTTGAGTTAATAAAGGCTGGATCTGGAATTCTTGGTGCACTTTTTCGTGTGTTCCTTTTCTTTCGATAGCATCTGCTGTTGAAAGGTCAACCATAAAAATTGTAAAATATATCTATTTCTTGCAGAATACAAAGAAAGTTACCAAAGTTCATCAATAATTGATATTGCTTGTACTGTTACTGTCATTCTTGCTGCTGTTGCCTTCCTATGTTGGTATTGTGAGTGATATGATCTGCTGCTTTCCAGGTTGGTTTTCAAGCAATCGCTGAAGCTCTTGGGATGGCTGCTGTTAAGGCAGCAGTTGCCATCACTGTGATAATTGCGGGTGGAAGATTGGTAAATCTTATATTTTCTAGATTGTGCCATTTATGAATGGCTTTTCTTCTCTAGATGCTAATTAGATCTTAAAGTTTCCAATTCTATGGTTTTGGTTGAAAATTTTGGGAATTTTACACAAGGTGGCATTGACTTTAAGTGGCAATGCACATCGACATCTGAACAGTGTTCTGTTGTTCCCTTTCTGTGGTTTTCGCAGCTGCTTCGGCCAATTTATAAACAAATTGCAGAAAATCAAAATGCAGAGATATTCTCAGCCAATACACTTCTTGTTATTCTGGGGACCAGTCTCCTTACAGCCAGGGTATGGAAATGCTTCTTAGAGATTGTTTGAGCATGTTTTATTTTCTGTTATTGTTATTGTTGTTGTTAATGAATTTGTGCCATTATCTTTTTCCTAGAGCAGGCTGGACTTTCCATGGCACTGGGGGCATTTCTGGCTGGTTTGCTTCTTGCAGAAACCGAATTTTCCTTGCAGGTTGAATCAGATATCGCTCCATATCGTGGGCTTCTATTGGGTCTTTTTTTCATGACGGTAGGTGTTTAAAAAATGGAGTCTTGTGTATGATCTATCTGTTAACGACTTGCAGTTCTTGTTTTAATTATTTTAGAAGTCATTTGTTGGTGATTTTCATAACGAATAAGACTATATGTGAAATTTTCTTCTTCCTATTGGTATGGTAACTTTTCAGGTCAGCTCTTTCTTTTCTCTCTTTTTCTTTGTACTTGAAGAACAGGCGAGCTCTGAAAGATTGTTCTTCCAACAAATTTTTTTACCATATTATTATACAACCTATAGCATTGCTTCTGTTATAAGACTGATGATATGTTAATTGTTGAACATGCTTGATCTTTGCCACTTTGATGATGCAACTATGTTGATCCTCAATCAGTACCTCTTATCATCTGTCCTTTTATGTGTTCTCAGGTTGGAATGTCTATTGACCCAAAACTTCTGATTTCAAATTTTCCTGTCATTATGGGATCATTAGGACTTTTAATTGGCGGCAAGACTGCTTTGGTTGCTTTAGTTGGCAGGGTTTTTGGTGTTTCAATTATATCTGCAATAAGGGTTGGTCTTCTTCTTGCTCCGGGTGGAGAATTTGCGTTTGTAGCATTTGGTGAAGCTGTGAATCAGGTCTCCTTTTTTCAATAACTAAATTTGTTTGTTTTTTTTTTTTTAAATGTTGCATTTGTTTAATTTTTCATGTGTTTGTGGGCAGTAATTCAACATGGTATTATAGTGTTTTATACAAAGTCCCCTAAAAAAAACATAGTATTATAGTGTTTTATACAATATCCACTAATTATAGTTGGCCCCGTGTTTAATAACTTCTGTGCATTTGGCGTTGAAAAAATATCTTTATTACATTTCAAAAAGATATTGAGATATTTTCCATGATGTTTGATAAGTAAAATATGAGGACTGGATAATTTTCACTAAAATTGAGATATGGAAATGCAATTTTTCTCTCATAATTTTGTCACCGCAAGTAATAATAATTTTAAAAAAGCTTGTTTCCTGTACATGTGTTGCCTAATTATTATTGTCTCCAGGGTATAATGTCTCCTCAGTTATCGTCTTTATTGTTTCTTGTGGTGGGGATTTCAATGGCCATGACACCATGGCTAGCTGCTGGTGGCCAGTTAATAGCCTCTCGCTTTGAGCAGCATGATGTTCGTAGTTTGTTACCAGTTGAGAGTGAGGTAAGGTCACTAGTATATGAATGGATAGCTAATATTGTGAAAGTCACAGTTTTAGCACTTAGTGATATCTACGTCAAAGTTCAAATCTTGCTATTGGTAGTTTACTGAGTTTGATACTTTGTTGCATGGTGACTGAGTTACAACTAGATAGAGATGGTGAATTGCTAAACATGGGTGGTTACCGTGGTTTCATATAAACAATTGAAGTATCCTTATCATTTGGCAAGTATGATGCTACCCGAGTGATGCATGCCTGAGAAAATATGTAGTACCATTCATGGGAGGGGCAATGAACAGGGAAAATAAACAGCTTTCAATTAATTGCGTGACTGTAATGCATGAATTTTGTAGTTGTGCTTTCAAAACATCCATTTGTTCCCTGCATATCGTGGTCAGAACCTGCTTGTTTTGCCTTTAAAGCGTCTGGAATTTTGTACTCTAGTTTTATAGCAGTGGTAATAAGTGTCCTAATTGTGGGTCATTTTTAGTTTAATTTCCTTCTCTTGATCATATTTGTATGACCTCATTTGTATGTTGGTGAGACTGTATTAGTCATACTGTATTACAAAATCAGGTCGTTCATTCATCTCCATGACCATTAGGAAACAAATAGCTGCATCCCGTATAATAAGGAAAACTTTTATTCTGCATTTACCATCATTGGCACCCCAGGATTTTTGCTTCTTGTTGCATATCCAGTTCTTTTAAAAATAATTTTCCAGCACTGTCTTCTCCTTTATTCAGGAAGTGTCGCTGAATATTTTCTTGATAGTGGTATTAGCATATCAACTACCTAATATTTATATTTTTCTCAGCCGTGTATGATTAGATGTGTGTGATGTGCTAGGTTTGCTTGACAACTATATGAGTACTTAATGATTAATCTTTCTCTTGGTTTGATTTTGTTTGCAGACAGATGATTTGCAGGATCATATTATTATCTGTGGATTTGGACGTGTTGGCCAGGTTGATACATGTCTTATTAATTTTGTTGCGTTCGTTAAAATGGCCAATACTGCAAAGTTTTCTAGTTTTAATGTAGATGTTCATGACATTCATTTGGTTTGCCAGATTATCGCGCAACTTCTCTCAGAACGATTAATTCCATTTGTTGCTCTTGATGTGAGGAGGTAAGCCAAAGATTGATAAAGACTGCCTGCAAAGTTTCTTGTGTTATTGCACCAATGTGTATGTTTTTGGTTCATTTCCTACTCACCCTATTAATGTAGTATTTTTGGATACAAGAATTTCTGTTTTTTCATCCCCCTGACAAATTATTACTGGGCTCCTTTCAAAACAGCATATTTTTATCAAAGATTTCAATAGAAATTAAGAAGTTTTCTTAGCTACCATTTAGCTAATTGGATTTAGATATCAGCTAAATTGGTTCTCCTGTTTCTTGGTATGCTACAAAATTGCTTTGAAATAATTGCTACTCAGAAAATAACGGAAATATATTCCCTTTCTTATTACTTGTTTATGCTAGTATATGATCTTAAATATTGTTTGGAATATTTTTTTGTGACTATGAGTGGAGAAGATAATGCAAGTTTCTTGATCGTTAAAAGTTTGCTTTTTTCAGTGATAGAGTGGCAGCAGGCCGTGCCCTGGATCTTCCTGTGTATTTTGGAGATGCTGGTAGTCGAGAGGTAAATCTAAATGCATGGCGGGCTAGTTATCTGGTGGTTCAACATTTGATGTTTTTTGTACTGTGTGGTTAGGTCCTCCATAAAATCGGTGCTGAAAGAGCATGTGCTGCAGCAATAACTCTGGATACACCTGGTGCAAATTATAGAACCGTCTGGGCTTTGAGCAAGTACTTTCCCAATGTGAAGACTTTTGTCCGTGCTCACGATGTTGATCATGGACTTAATTTGGAAAAGGCTGGGGCTACAGCTGTAATATTCTAAACTTCTGATATCTCATTTTATTGAGTTCCTTTGATTTATAAAACAACTCAATCACACCCTGTTAACAACTAATACTTACAGGTTGTCCCTGAGACATTGGAACCCAGTCTACAGTTGGCAGCTGCTGTTCTTGCACAGGTAACAGCTTACCTCTTGAGTTGCATGTCACTTGTTCTTGTCACAGTTACCCTGAAGTGCTGAAGCACTGGAATAATATGGTTTTTCTATGTCAAAACCATCTGGAGCTAAAATGCCATTTATGCTGTCTAAATGAGTCCTTTGGTTGGCTTTATTTGAACTTCCTTTCATACTAGTTATTTGATGGAAATATCTGAAACTTAGAATCTGATTGCTTGAATATGGCCAAGTGCCGCAAAACTTTGGTTTGTACGTCTACGGCTGCAAGCAACAATATAACAAAAGCAATTCTGGCATCGCAATGAACATATAATAGAGTATTCGTTGGGCCACAGTGCCCGTTAACATTTCTCAGGTTTCATTTGGGTTTTCTTGTTTTCCTCTTCCATTTAGGCTAAACTGCCCACGTCAGAGATTGCAGCCACCATCAACGAATTTAGATCTCGCCATTTGTCTGAGCTTACTGAGGTAATCAATGCTGGTTTTTATTATTATTGACAAATTCAGTCATCTGCACCATTCTTAAGAGTAGGATTTAATACGCCAATTTCTTTGACATAATTTGACATGTGGGAGTTTACTTTCCCTTGCAGCTATGTGAAACTAGTGGAAGTTCTCTTGGATATGGATTTTCTAGTGTCATGACCAAACCCAAAACTCAGTCCTTGGATTCTTCAGACGAAAACCAAATCAGTGAAGGAACATTAGCAATATGAAAATTGCCTTATGTGAACCAGGTAAAAAAAAAAAAAAAATGAAAAAAGGAAAAGAAACTAGGAAAATAAATATTTTGGAGAAATGTATAGCAGTTTGCTTGCTCCATTAGCACAAATTGTACAGAATACACTGAAAGAAGAGGCAATAGCACACTTGTCATTGATAAATAGTTTTTGTTCGATAAAATTTTGATGGACATATCCTTGCAAAAAAAAAAACACGTGGAAAAGTCTTCCTCGTTCCAAGTTGTGTGTAATAGTCTGATCTCATTTTGGTTTCTTAGAAGACAGTGAAAAGGAACTGAGGCCTAGGAATCTAACAAGAACTTCCAACAATGTATTAATTTCATATTTGTAATTGTAGCTGTTAAATTTTTGGTTTAAATGTTCCTGCCATGCAGCTCCATTAATTAGAAGGATTCACGCCTTAAAATGAGAACCCCTGCAATTTTCCATGTTGTAGCAGACCATGATACCACAAACTGTGTTCAAATCAAGTGCTTTAACGGTCTAGTGGCGATGCTTGATTTTCAGAGAATAGAACCGTATGTGATAGATATTAGGGATTGAATTAGGCCATTCCTAATCTGTCTCTTGTGTGATCATCTGGTGCTGTTGATGAATCAAAGATCGTAAACTGAAGAAAGTTGTGTTTTTTTTTTTTTTTTCTTCAAATGTTAGTCAGTCAGGGCTACTAGCAATCTCATCAACCTAAGATGACAGTTTTTGTCTTGCTTGGCGTTCTCTGTATTTTTTATTTATTAAAGATAGTTTTCATTTTTCATAATATATTCTTTTTCAATAGATTCTGATATACTCACAATAGCATCATAAACGTTAATTTTGACATTTTCACTAAAGATTTCAAGTTCAAATATTTAAAGAGATGAGATGAAGATTTACAAATAGGGAAAAAAAAATGTTAATAGATGTTTACTTTGTATCTTATCAAGTTTGAATTTAAGAAGAATCTTAAGGAGCACGATGAGGTTATTAAAAAAAAAAAGTGATGAGAATTTTTTTCATGAATGTATTAGTTAGAAATGTAAATGATCAAAGGTATATTGTTGGATTTGCTCAGAAAAGAAGAAGATATATTGTTGAATGATTTAATCTTAGTACTTGAAAGTTGTTGTATAAGAATATTTCAAAATGAAAAAAAAAAAAAAAAACAAGGACAGGTGATAAGTAATAAAAATGTTAAAAATCGTCTTTATCAGAAGTATTAAAAAATGACAGATTATTTATTAATGTAATGTCATTATATAAAAAAAAAAACAAACAAACAAAAATCCCACTGAGCTATAAAGGCAGTAAAATGAAACGTTTGATTCATCTTCATGAAATAAAAAACACCACTCACCCCGAGTTTCTCCCTGCAAAAAGCCAAAGACGCCGCATGCTTTAAAAAACTTTTTGAAAACCGCATTAGTCTGCTCTGCTCCTGCTCCTGTTCCCTGTTCAACCTCCAAAACCTTGCAATCATTTTTCACACCCACAAGCACAAAACGTCTAGGTTACTTCGACTTTGCTTCGCCACCACCAAAATGTCCTCATCACTCATCTTCACCGACTCCTCCACCTCCACAACTTCCCGTCTTCTTCCATTTGCCCGAACCACTAACCCTTTTAATGCCCCCGTTTTCTTTCGCCGCTTAGTGGGTCCTCTCCATATGAGACCCTTTGCCTCCTCCTCTCTCAGAACCCTCTCTATTCGTTCTTCAAACACTCCGTCTCCTGTAATCAATGGTTAGCCACTCATTGATAAATTGTTCGATAATTTCAATTTTCATGTATCTCTGCGGTGCACTTTTTTTTTTTCGGGGTTCATTGGTTTGTGAGTTTATTTCGTTGAGGCATTTTGTCGAACATGTTTTATTCAAATCTAATGTGTTTGCTTTATTGTGTTTGATTGGTATATTGTTCAGATAAATCGGGCGGTGAAGCGTCTGCGAAGGTAATCGATGGGAAAATGGTGGCAAAGCAAATAAGGGATGAGATAACAGCTGAAGTACTAAAGATGAAGGAGGCAATTGGTGTTATTCCTGGGTTAGCAGTGATTCTTGTTGGTGATAGGAAGGATTCTGCTACTTATGTACGCAACAAGAAAAAAGCTTGTGAATCTGTTGGGATTAATTCTTTTGAAGTACGTTTACCAGAGGATTCAACTGAACAAGAAGTGATTAGGTTCATTTCGGAGTTTAATAATGATCCTTCAGTTCATGGAATCCTTGTGCAGTTGCCTCTGCCTTCGGTATGGTTTTGAATTTGCACAATCTATTTTTGATAATGTTTAAAGAATATTATATGGAATTGTTGTGTTGAATTGTGATTGTTTGATTAGAAATGGCCTTTTTTGTATGTTTGTGTCAGCATATGAATGAGCAGAATGTGTTAAATGCTGTTAACATTGAGAAGGATGTGGATGGTTTCCATCCATTGAACATCGGTCGTCTTGCAATGCGAGGAAGAGACCCGTTATTTGTTCCATGTACGCCTAAAGGGTGCATTGAGTTGTTGCATAGATATGGTGTTGAAATCAAAGGGAAGAGAGCAGTTGTGATTGGTCGGAGCAATATTGTTGGGATGCCAGCTGCTTTATTGCTTCAGGTAAATCATTTTCCCAAACAAATGCTTCGGTATATTTTTAAAAAAGTTTGTTACTTTTCTTGTCATCATGCATGTGGGTGTCTCTGTCCTTTTCTAAACTCGTTGTCTTGATGTTCTTCATATTGGTAGAGGGAAGATGCTACTGTGAGCATTGTCCATTCTAGAACCAAGAACCCTGAGGAGATCATAAAACAAGCTGATATAATAATATCTGCTGTAGGGCAACCAAATATGGTGAGGGGGAGCTGGTTAAAACCTGGTGCGGTTGTAATTGATGTTGGAATTAATCCAGTTGAGGTGAGCAGAATTCTATAGTGGCCTGTGGTTTTCTCTTCCTCAACATGCTTTCCAGGTTATATTTTTATGTGATTGATTGTTTTTATTTGTATGCATGCATGTTTAAAAGGACGCAAAAAGCCCTCGAGGTTACAAATTGGTCGGAGATGTCTGCTATGAGGAGGCCTGCAACGTTGCTTCAGCTGTCACTCCAGTTCCTGGGGGTGTTGGTCCTATGACTATAGCAATGCTTCTCTCAAATACTCTAAGCTCAGCAAAGAAGACACACAACTTCCAGTGACTATTGTGAGATTTTATAGATCAATGCTAACAGGATACGGCTGGCTTCCCAGGGACCTGCCTTGTGTTAGCTTGAGCTCCCCTTCTCTCGCAGGGAGTTGGTTTCAGTCCCTGCGCTGCCTTTTCCTAGTAGTTTATTTTATGACAAAGTGAGAATTTATGACAGTTTGAAGACATTCTATCTTGCTAGGAAAAGTGAACAACAGATTGTGGGAGTTCATATCATACCCTACTTGACCTAATGCTAAGAGCTTGTGGGTTCAACCACATTGAATGGGCCATCATAATCGTATCGTCAAGCCAACTTCTTCTAGTGTTCGATTTGGAACAGCCTTTGTTGTTTTCCTTCACCAGATTAATGGGTTTTACCGATTATCATTCTAAAACTGTTGGGTCCCACTCTCGGATGCCTTGAACGAGTTCACCAACCTACATAAGCACCTTCCTTTCTTGTCGTGCAACACTGCAATTATGGATTTGTATTCATATATATCATGTTTCCTATTTTAACTCCCAGGCCATTTACATGGTGGGTTTACAAAACCACGTCTTTCAATTTTCTAACTTATCTAAGCCGTAACTCCATGTTGTTATTGTTCTTTTTGCCTAACACATTAGTTAATGACCGTCTGATCTGGAAGACATGTGCAGAAAAAGAGAGCAATGACAAAAAAACAGTTAAATCTTTGACTACTTATTCTTAAAATTTCATATCAATTCAACTCTTCAATCCACGTGGACTTGGTTTATCCATTGAAAAAAGATACATACATACAAGTTGAGCACACACTTCATCAATGCCAAAAACTGCCACTGATTTTGTCTTTTCTCGTACTTTCGAAGGAATCTAAAAATCTGGAGACAGGTACAAAATATCCAGTCACAATTATTCTTTTGACGAAAGATCAATTCGTGCTTCAAAATGGTCCAGTCCAGTTTTGCTTTGCTGTTTTGTCCTGCGGAGAATAGAAACCTGAAAAACAATGCTATCAGGACAACGTTATACTTTCGAATTTAATTTAATACAAGAGGGTAAGAAGGGGTATATATTCACAATTGACAGAGCATGTAAATTTGAAACTTCAAAGATTAGTGATTAGTAGGCTAATGGTGACAGCGTGCACTTGAAATGTCAAGAAAATATCATTTCATTGCACCCTTCGTTAGCAATTGGATGCACAATTAATCATCTAAAATTACTACAGAAAAGGAGCATGGATAAAAAACAAAAAAAAAAAAGCATAATTTACAATAGTTTTCAACACATCTTAGCAAAACTCAAATAATACATCTGAAGAAGAATAATCAGACAATGTGTGTCCAAGTAATAAGCCGTAGACTGTTTCACAGTCTACTTATTCAGTTTCTTATCCTTTGCCCTAAAAATTCAGCCAACCCATTATGAAAATAATGCCATATGAGAAAATAAGTAAATGGAAAGACTAAATATTGTGATACCTTGGGCCGTTCCATAGAACTTCCATGATATCCTATCCCAAAAGAGGAGGAGGAAAAAGCTGCTGCAATTTCTATTGCTTTCAGCCTTGGTGAGTTTCCTGGAGCCTAAGATACAAACAATGAATTGAATAAATATAATATCGAGCACACAGAACCAAAGTTTATAGACAAGAGCTCACCATCATAGGGGCATCAGCTTGCACAAGTAAAATCCCAGCACTTTTTTCAGTAGTACTTTGATTACCATCCAGAATTACGGACCGTAAAACTTTCATACTAGCAGAGGCAGGACCAGCCTGGGAACTGAGCATGAAAAAAAACCTAGTCAGTTTAACAAAGCGGGCTATACTTGAAGCACCTGAATGTCACATCATAGCAATGCGTTGGCAAATATCTGACTGTTGGCAAATACAGCTATTGCATGTAATCAAAATTATTGTTCTTCTTTCTTTAAATGAATAACCGCTAAGGGCTCTAGCTGAATCAACTATGGAGATCCTATGATGTGGACAACAAAGGAAGCAAAACTTGTGTCTTTTTGTAGACAAGGGTACTCCTGTAATTTCTGGAAAATCTGGAAATTAATCTGAGTCTAGGTTTATTTTCCATTTAGTATTTTATTAGTAGTAAGGAATAATTAGCTTTATTAGGTCTTTTCCTATTCTACATAGACTTAGTATTTTCTTATTTAGGAATCTAAGTCCTTATTGGATTTGGACTGCTAGAACTTTAAATAAGCATGTAGTCTTTTATTATTTTCAATGACAGTTTATGAATAAAAAATTTCCAGCAATTTGCTTTTGATTGTTTGACCCAATCTTCTTTAGTGTGACTCCCAAGAACCCTAGGTGTGAAGCTTAGGTTTTTCTATCCTATAGGCGTGACTCCTAGAAACCCTATTAGTATGACTAATAGTTCTATAATTCCCAGCAGAAATCCACTTTAAGCAATTGTAAGGACGTGGAATTCTAGGATAGAAGGTCAAGCAGAGATTTATCAAGAAAAGAGAACCATACATTGATGCTGAAACACAGCACTCCCGGGCAGCAAATCCTTTCATTAGGTATTCCCCAGCTCCAGAAGCACAGCAGCCAACTATGAACGGAGCTCCAAAAGGACCCCTTGAAGAAGCCCAACAACCACAACCATGCATTGCTGCTAACCCCACTCGCCCACCTACCTGTTTTCCCATTATAATTAGTTAATTCCTCTAAGATACTTTACTATGTTAGCAAAACTATTGAAAATGAATTATACCATTCACTACCTTCATTGCTATACCACCACTAGAGGCCCCAGAAGCTATGTGTCCTTCAGCATCAACACAAATAACTCCAACTGTGTCCATGATGCAGTCCTCTTCCATGGCGGTTGGTATAGACGATTGCCTGCCATCATTCCCTTCTGAAGGTTCTTGAGATTGAAATTGTAGTTCTGTAATACAAATGCAACTAGCATTAAACATTGCAACATGAAAACCTGCAAAGCATGCATGACCAATGTCTCCAATACAGATGAAAGGGAAATACAGCAATCAAGAATACTGGTGCAAACAAAAAAGGTGTATTATTAAATTCAATGATACTAGCTGCCAGCCACAACAAAATAAGAGCTATCTATATAAATGTCGGATAATTATGTCCAAATAACTTTGGAGAACGACAGTCAGAAACAACAACATGAAGTTCGGCATAAGGAAGATGGAAGGAGAGAGGTCAATTTCACAATCTAGGTAGCTCACAAACAAAGAATTCGCACTTACTGAGTTAATGCTCCTTAAAAGGAAGGAATTGATGTGTTTAGTATAAAAAACTAAATGGGATACCTGATATTTTTGAGGTCTCTGGAACACTACAACAAAAGCTATCATCAGAATGAATCTTAGCATTGGCATTGACAAGCATTTCTTTATACTTTGTCCATTGTGTTTTTGCCCTTGTTGTCACAAGCCACTGTTTTTCAAATGGAAGACGTTCAACAAGATAAAAGATTAACCAGAGATAAATTTTTCTTAAGGAAAATCAGTTTAAGAGATCAAACCACACCCTTTCAGCCTCCACAATTTCTGGCAAATCAATGCCTTTGGACTTTCCCCATACACGTGCACCTTCACCAACCAAGAACCTGAGGGCACATAAAATGGTCCATGAAAACTAGAAAAAGATAAGGGAATGAAAATGGGTGCATGGAACGCATCTTCCTCATATAAAAACACCACAGTCAACTTTTATAACATTGTTGATTGACATAATTGATTGAACAACTTGTTTTTGGAGCGTGTCCAAGAGCCATTACCAAAAGATAACAATTTTATCAAGAGAAACCAATTACTGCCTCCATCCCAATTTGTTTGTCCCATTTGACTTGTCACAAAGATTAAGAAACAAAATAAATATAGTGCCACGTCATCCAAAATTGCTCCAACCTTCCAATATTGTCCTTTTGTTTGTCTCTTTTGATTTTTCACAAAGATTAAAAAAAAAAAATAATGAATATGGTTTTAATAAGGGATGTAACAAGCAAAACTAAACATTTCTATAGACAAACATTTTGGGACATCCAAAAACAGAAACATGGACAAACACATTGGTATGGAGGAGTACTATACTATCATATCAGCGGAAATTTACATGAAAACTCAAATATAGATGCCTCCAAATAACTAATATGAGTTTTGATACTTAAGAAACCAATTGAAGTGTGTTCAAATGAGACATACTGAGCACATTTTAAGCAGTAGTTATGATTCATGAAGTTGGCATTTTGAACTGTAAACACAAGTTTTGGTCGCACATGAGAATCTCAAGCTTTGAGAAAAGTAGAAGAAATATTCATTTTAAACAGCATTAAGAAGGAAAACAGTAAGGAAGAAAAGGAAGAACAAAATTTCAAAGGCAGTAGTACATCATAACAATTCAGCATGTTGTAAAAGAGAAAGAGATTGATAATTACATAGGAGGTATTCTACCCAACAGTGAAGACCCCATAATTTGCTCCTTCACCAATAATGCAGATATATGGATGGCATTTCGGACACCTGGTCTACAACTAGTGAAATGTATACTCAGTGAATTCATGGGAAACATAAGGAAAATAAGGAAGAAATCCACATATGAAATCTGTCTTATTTTATACCTGGAACTGCTCCAACAGCTCCAAATGCACCGGAATCACCATCCATAATACTAGCATCACATTCCACACGACCATCTTCCGTCAAATTAGAACCCCGGCCTGCATTTGTGCTTGAATCATCCTTCAACAAAACAACAAAGGCAACATCATCTCATCTTCTCGTCTATGTATGATGAAGAGTAAACTACAATCAAGCATAGATATAGGGCAGTTTCCCTGAATTAAATCATGATAAAATAAACATGTAAAATCTCGAGTCTGCCCATCAATCACTCTAGGCCGGGTGAAATTGAGCCCTTGCACCTGCAAGAACCCATTGGATCGGCCGAACCACAAAATTGTCATTCTTTTCATTTTTGTGATAAAATTTCCAAAATGTTGAAGGAATTCCAAAAATTAACAACTTCTAACCATAATTATGAGCAAAGCAGATTAAGTTGTTACCTCCAATACTTGAATGGCGGCCGTAACAGCATCTATGCAACCACCAGGACCCTAAAAAAAAAGGAGAAATTAGGAATATTGATTAAAGAAATTAATTGTAAAATTGGGGAAATGGAGACGGAAAAAAGAGAGGACCTTGAGAAGAATAGAAGCCGCAGCGAGACAAGCACGTTTCATGGCGGACCTCAGAGCTTTTTCATTCGATGGCGCGTGATATCCCGCTCCGACATGGACCGCCACGAAGAATCTAGGGTTTTGATCCTCTGAGTCACAGGCCAAGGCCATTTGATTAGAGAAAAGGAGCGACTGTTTTCTCTGTTCGTTTTGAGTCACTCGGCCTTCTTGGCTTCAGCTTTCTTTAAAAATGTACGAACGTCCTGTCGGCGCCCTTTTTTTATTAACGACTCTTTTTTTATTTTCCCTCGTTATATATATATATTCATTTTTCTTGTTGACAGTTGAGCTTTATTCATAGCCACTACAGAAAATGATAAAACTATAATTTGTCTTCAAGTTACAAATAAAATTGAAATTTATTTACATTCAATTCCTAGAAAAACAAGAAATTAAGATTTGCATAAAAGATAAAAATTTTCCTGGCTTAAAAAATAAACTATGACTTAGTGGTCACTTCATAATTAAAGAAAAGTGGTTTCCTCGGTCAACAACACAAAAGAAGATTATACTGTTGGCACTTCAGCAGCCAACCTTACTGTTGGTAAAATCCCATTCTCATAAATGCAAATAAATAGGAATCGTGGTGAAAAATTACATGCGCTAAATGGATATTTCTCCATCACTTCTTAATTGTTCATAAAATTATACATTCAATTGGGAATTTATATTTTGCGCCTTATTCTCGTGGATAAAATACAAAGGTAATACAGTTGAAGCAAAAGAATAGCCATGAGCTCAGGCTAAGAAGAGAGCTTTGCACTGCTCCATTGTACCATCAGGGCTGGTAACTGCAAAGCAAAATAGCCATAAAATTGAAAACCATTCCATATGCCATATCAACAACTAGAATAACAGTGACACAGCTGAATAAACATTTAAGCATACCTTGATAAAAATGGGAAATAAGATCATCCATTTACATTAATTGCATTTCGAAGGAATCTTTTTGTTTTACATGACATGTGGATGCATCATTGTGACTATAAAGACAAAAATATGCAGCTAGATGCTATTGTTTGTATGCAGTAATGGCAGCTGAAAAGGACAGGATTATACCGCAAACTTCACAATTTTATGGGTGAAAGTCCCACTCTAGACCATTCTTTTAATTCTCTACTCTCCCAAGTTCCATGTGAAGAAAACTAAACTACTTCATTTGACTTGTGTTTTAGGCTGTTCTGATTTTATTTGTGTTGATGCTGCACCATATTGAAAATGAAACTTTGAGATGCCAATAAATAGGTTGAAGATGAAATCTTTTTCTGACCTGTATGACCCACAGTCCGTTCTGATTCATAGATTTCATGATCGTTTCCTCCCTGCTCAAATAAAATATCTAGTAAATGCAAGAAACTCAATGATAAAGAAGAATTATAGAATGCTATCATTAGAATCACATCTCAAATTGCATATAGATATTAGAATGCCAATGAAACACAGGAAATATGCAGGGGTGTGGATCAAGCCTCGATTCTAATGGTGAGTTTAAATTATAGAGAACATGTATCTTCTGTGGAAAATCACAAATATCTTTTGCTTTGAGGATATAACTAGATCCCAAGAATGAACTTCATTGTTTTCCAAATCAATGCAACTCTTCCGCAACATCCCTCAGACATTTCATAATCAGTCAAAAATGAATCAAGACTAGCCCTTTAGCTTACACAGTTGCCACTCTAAACTATCAAACAATTAACCGTTAAATAACAAAAGTCAGACTCTTTACACCAAGTATTTGGTTCCTCTCTGAGCTTTTCCTCTCAATTAATGATTCTCTTAACAAAAAGGAGTGGTATTTGAGCCAGAAATCCTATGGGCAATTCATAATCGGGGGGCCTAAAGTATTAACAAATCAAGTTTAAAACACAAAACAATCCACATAATATGAAGTCCCACCAGAAGGAAAGTTGCTTTGAAGAAAACATACTCCCATGATTAGTGACAATAAATAATGCAGGTGTCATCATTTATCATGAGTTTGCAAACAGAAAGAAAGAAACGCCAAGCAGGAATGAGAAATTTAATAAGAGGATAACCTTGTAAGTTTTGTCTCCAAAGAAGTGAATTTCATTGAATTCTTCAAGGAATCTCAAGCAGTATGTCTTATCCCAGCCTTGAGGGAAAACCTGTTACAAGCATCACACACCAATAATGAATACGGTGCCACTCTTACAAACCAGTTTTCTGATATTGCATTCAAGAATCATCATAAGCGAGTTAATATGGCACCTACATCAAAGCTTATCTGTCCGCCAATTGAAAATGTCAGGTTAAGGTGAGCAAACTTTTCACGCAGCACTGATACCATTTTGGGGCGTATATTATGAACCTGGGAACTCAATTTGTTCAGTATTTCAGCATTTACATCAACTATACACAAAATCCAGACTATGAAACAAATAGCTTCTAATACAAGCTTTTGATCAAATGGAACCAAGTCTTTTTTTACCTTGTCATACTTTTCAAACTCATCCCTTTCTTCTTGGCTGCAGTTCCGTCCAATTGGTGATACATTAAGCATGCCACTTCGGAATTCTATAAATGTTCCCCTTTAAAAATCGTTGGAAAACAAAAAGGTCTTATTGAGCATCTTTGCTATATTCAGCTGGATAAGCTTAAAAAATTGACTTTTCAGCTCTCAATGTACTCACCGTTTTATGGGGATGTCCAAGTCAGCAATATAATGAAGTGTAAAATTAATAAATTCCTGCAGATTCATTCAAAATATATTAGAATACAAAAGTGTTATAATTTCTATGCCAATAAATCTCCATTGCTTTATTTATCTATTCAGTCTCGAAAGGGTGCGAGTCTTACTTTTGAGAAGTGAGAACACAAGAGCATGCAGCAAGTTAGCATCCTTAGTGTCCAGACAGTATTCCGCACAGTATTCCATTTATCCTAGATGATCTTATTCTTGTTTTAGTTTCAGACAAGTGATCTACAACCGTTAATAGTCTTTGTAAGTCATCTCCTGTTTCAGGACCCCACTTAAATGGATTCGTCTTCGACTAACGCCTCTTCTAGACAAGTTTAAGATTATTCTTGTATAATGAGCAAAAGATCTTACCTTGAGCTTTTCCTCTCCAAGAGATGACTTCAAGCTCTGGAAAAAGATAATTATACCCAGTATTTTAGAGAAACAAGTTAACAAGTAATTGACAGCAATGATTTTGAGAGAAAAAGAAAAAAAAATAATAACAGATCTAATACTGAATTCAAGTGTTTCAAATTTCCATCTCGAACAATACCTCGGTGCCAATAAGCTTCCCATCTTTGTGAGCCACAAGCCCATTTTCAGAAAATACATAATCATAGTCATTAATAACTGCACCACCAAAAATGTTATAATTACTAACTCCCCTTAACTCCAAAAAAATAGCTTTAAAACCTTTAGTCATAGCAAACCTGTCTTTCCAAGCTGCTCCGATATCTTAGAGAGATCAGATCCACCCACCACTCCCACAGTAACAACCTGCATTTACCTATACTGTTAACACTCCAACTATCTAAAAGGCCAAAGACTCCATAAAAAGAATTACCCTTTTTTATGCTAATCAATATAATTAATACCTTTCGGAGTGTCTTGATGAACTCTGTCATACTTGGGGTGGCTGCCTGGAATTGAATTGAAGAAAATTCAGTTTCAATGGCTGAAATACTTTGATATTTAGTTCTATTCTATGCTCAAAATGGTTTAAAGAAAAATTGATACCTTCCTTGGAGCAGTGAGAGTGCCGTCAACATCAAATAAAGCAATCAAACCAGGCTTCCTCACGGCCATTGCAGTCTGTACAAATTATCCTGTCATCCAATTCACAAAGAAAAGTTCGAAACTTGAAAAATCAAATAAAAAAGAATTCCATAATGCAAAAATTCAATTCTAAAGCCATGTTCGGCAGCACGTAATTCAATTGGAGACTCGAATTGAAGAATGGAGGCCGCATAATACAGTAACTTCCTTGAAGCCAAACACAGAACACGAAAGAGATGGAGTACCTTCAGCAAAAAGGAGTAAAGAGAGTGGAGAGTCAAAAGTACGAGAACTAGCGTTTATGGACACCGAATTTAAAGCAGATCTTAACTTGCGGAACGTGGGGAGTTTTGGGGGATTAAATTGATTGTTTAGGGATAGATTTGGAGCGAAAAAGTTTGGATCTGTGGAGAGTATGTTTTGTTGTTTCAGATGCAGTCAATTCTTGTGCTCGGTTTAATTACGGTCGTACACGTGGATACCTTGAATGGTGGAGATTAGTTGGATAGGTTTACTGGGTATGTTAACAAAGCCTATGTGTTCCAAGCAAATTTCTTTAGTCACGCATTCGGATATTACTTGGTTTTTGAGAGAAGGATTTTACCAAAGTTGTGGACAGATGCAATGTTACCAAAATGAGTTTTCACTGATTTTAATCGCTTGATAAATGATTTCAACAGTAACTTTCATGTTTGTGCTAAATGCAATGTGTTCCTGTGTGTATTTCTTTTTATTTACTTTGTTTCATTCGAGTCTTTTATTTTTAGTAAGTTATGTACATCATTGTTATTTTTTTTATTTAGGTTAAAGGGTAAATGAATTTACTTCGACTTTCGAATTTTATCTTCTTCTTCTTTTAATGTAAAAACTAATCAGACCTTCATGAATAGGGTCATAAAAATATAGAATAGTCACCAACCAATAACTATTGTAATACTAATAATCAAATCCAATTACTTAAATGAAATCAAGGTGATGGTTTAGCACTAAACCAACCTGGTGTTGGTGAACTATCATGTCTATTCACAAAATAAATAAATATTCTGCTCAACCAACTCTTAGAATTTATCTAACATAATTCATTCTCAACCATGTTGCGAGGACCACTTAGCTAAACAATCAGCCAACAGGGGAAGAAAATAGAAAATTTTTGGCTAACCAACTTCTTGCATAATATATTTGGGCTTTTCAAAACCACCTATATATCGATGTATTAGTAAATTTTACTTTTATTCTATTGTGATTTGATAATTTCAGACTTATAGTACTGAATTAATTACGTAATTTGAATCTTAAAATATTAAAAATTGAGTAAATGTGATTTAAATTATCCAATCTTCATTATGTGTAACGGTCAACCGTATTAACCGTTATTTGAAAAGCTAAAACGACTTCGTTGTGATATTCCGTTGTTAATTATGTTTTTTTTAAAGTATTTTAAAAATATTTTTAAGCCTTCTAATCTTGAACTTTTTTTAAAAAATTTCTTATAAAATAAATATTTTATAAATTATATATAAACTATTTTATAAATATTTTTACCCCCTAATTTTGAACCTTTTTTTTAATAAAATATTATTGTAAAAAAATATAATTGGCAATACACAATTCCAAAACTTTAAAAAATATTTTATAAATTAAAATGAGCATAATTAAGTATTGGCAGCCCTAATTTTATAAATTATAAACTAATATTTTTTTATAAAATGTTTATAATATTTTATTAAAAAATTAAAAATTAGGGAGATTAAAAATATTTATAAATTTTTTTAAAATAATTTATAAAGTATTTATAATATTTTATAAGAAAAAAAGTTCAAAAAAAGGGGGTTAAAAATATTTTTAAAATGTTTTTTTTTTAAAAAAAACACAATTAAGAGTAGAATTGGTAATTTGTATCTCATTTGCTCAATCTCTAATAATACTTTAGGATTTAAATTATGCAATTTGATGCTAATCAGAATAGAATAAGGATAAAATTTACCCTTAAACCCCCAAACATCATGTTGGACCCTCTACCAGCACTAAAGTAATTTGCAAATGTCTAGATCATGAACCGGTAGTCATTATCAGAACCTTTCTGTTTCATTTATAAGCAAGGAAGCTTCAATTGGTTTAGACTAATAGAGTAATTCTGAGTACTAGTTTGTTTTTTATTTGGAAAGGAAACTTCGTATCAACCAACTGAACTTTGTGTCAGCTTCACTTATGTAGGTACATTTTGCAACATTTGGAACAGTAACTATTTGGAAGGTTGCCTTTCATTTTCCGGTTCTCAGTGTAAAAAGGATGAGATTCGAACTTGGATCCTCCTCTTCAATACTTTACACGGGAAATTACCGCTATGCTAACACCTATTGACAAAGTCTAGGATATTTTTCATATGTCACAAAGCAGAACAACAAAGAAATTCCAGACCACGTCGGAGGTCTGGCTTTCATGTGTATAAATTGATCGTCAAATCCAATAAAAATAGAGCCAAGGTTGGGTCCTCCTTCTGGACAGAAACAAGAGACCAGATGGTCCTGCATCGGGCCGGAGCCCCAACCTTACAGAGCTTTCAGCACTTTCTTCGAGTCTTAAACGGATAACATGTCAGTGTGGAAGTTGATATCTATTTCACAAAACCAGGGCATTGATGCGGAAATTTGTGTATTTTCTAGTCCAGAATCTCTCTTTTTTTTTTTTTTTTTTTTTTCCTTTTTTAACATTTGCAGGAGCTTTCGAGACTGTATATGCAGATAATCAGGCGGCCAGCTTTCTCAAGAACCCCCTTCAAATTCTCCTTTCCACTCTCCATTTGGTAAGGCTTTCTGGATCATTTCAATTCTCCTTCAGCACATTCTTTCGGTATGCTCTGGAACAAAATAATGAGCAAATATCAACAATTTCAAGGAATTTTATTCTCTTGGAGACCTGCGACACGAACCGAAAGTGTGTGTCTTCAGGAGATTTTCAATTTCTGAGGCGAAATAAAATACCAAACTAAGAGTGGTCTTTGTTTCTGTTTAGTTGTCGCTACTTGTGTTCTAGACCTTAAAATTTACTTGGGCTAAATCAACCTGGTAATACTTCAAGTGAGGTTAAGTAAATCTACTTTCGTCATACAACAGACTTTTTAACCAACCAAACTAACTACCAGTATCAAACTCGAACCAGTTCCTTTCTGACTTGTCAGCAATTTAAAGAACGTAATTAACTTTTCTGAAGTGCAGGAAACATTTATAACTCATGGAAAATCTCATAACTGCGAGGGTGAACGAGGGCTTCCACCATTCTCTGGACACCATAATAGTTTATTTTCAGGCACTCTTCAGATCACTCAAGTTTGAGTCATCGCTTCTCGATGGTTGATTTGCACCGTCCAGCTTTGAACTCAAATACCTGGCCAATCTTAGCCCCTCCTCAAGAAGTCTTTGGATATAACAAAATGAAAGCCACGGTTCCCAACTATCAAGGCCTCTCTGCTAATCTCTGGATATGAGCAAAACTGAAATGCCATTAGAAGCCAACAGCCTGCATATAACAAATCCATTCCCCCTATGGGCTCGTGAAACAACCAAAATATTATAGAAAGGAGAAGGCGGCACTGCAGATGACAGAAGAAGTACCTCTTCGTTGCTTTGCCTCTGCCATTGAGAATGGGATTTGGAACCAGTGTACGAGATGATGAAAGAAGAATTAAGCTGGATTTCAGCTTGTCAGAGAACTGATTAATTAGCTTCGATTCTCGGACTGCTTTTTAACTTCTTTCCCGCTGATGGAACTTGGAGACAGGACATCCACACATTCATGCAAATGGTCCCGCGAAGTCACGAGGACTACGCTTATGAACACAGAAATTAAGACAGCGTGTATTCTTATTCACACTAACCAGTTCAAAATCCATAATTTCTATCTCAAAAACGATAACTATACTACAAGTAGTGTTGGGCAAAGAAACACAAATAATACAGCGGAATCCCTTTGCCCTTGCTTGAACAATCAATCACAGGCTACAACCAAATACCCAAGCTAAACAAGTAACTAATAATCTGAAAAATAAGTAACCAATCACAATCACACAAAGCATACACAAATTTTTACGTGGAAAACCTCCTCAAATTGAGAAGGGAAAAACCACGTGACCGGAGTCCACTATAACTTCCACTATCAACAATAATGGGTACAAGGAGTTCTCTCTAGATTAAACTAGATGAATAATCAGCCACAAACATCAAAGGTTACACACCCTTGGCAAACCACATCAAAAGATGATACACAAAGAAAGTAGAAGAAACCAAGTTCAGATTTCACCAGAAAACAGCACTGTTACGAGCATAATATCTCCCTCTCCAGGACTCAAAACCCGATCTCCACCGTCCAGAATGTGCGCCTGCCTCTCCTAAACGTGCCCACCAAATTTGAACTCGATCCAACGGTTAACAAACCCAGAAACTCAATTTTAGCGTGACTGGTCTGTGCTGAAACTCTCTTCCCTCTTTCTCTCCAAAGTTGCGGCTCTCACTCTTTTTTTCTCTTTTTCTCTCTTGCTTCTTCCCTAATCTGATTTCAGAATAAAAGAGAAGATAGGGTTTATTTGAAAATACCAAAATTACCCTTTAAGTGATTAATAAAAATCCTCCTCTACATGGGCTCCAAAATTGGGCTCATGTAGGCAAACCTTAGGCCATCCTCCAACTAGGAGGGAAACCCAACAAGTAGACTATTGGTAGATTGCAACATTGCCTGTCAAGATGCCAATGTAGTTAGGATAAAATGGTATTGGACTAAATGGGCTTGGACTAAATAAAATGGAATTGAATAAAGTCAATGGACTTAGGATAAAGTTAAGGGACATGGATGAAGTTAATGGGCTCGGAATAAATTAAATGGACTTGGACAAAAATCAAAAGGCTTGGTTTTAAAGTAGATGGGCTTAGACTAAAAGAAATGGGCTTGGACTAAAATAAGTGGACTTAGATAGAAATAAAAGGGATTTGAAAATTCTAAAGAAAATTTATTCTTTTAGAGAGGAAATAAGGAAAAGA